GACATTGACTCCCTTGCCCCCTGGCAAAGTTCCTATTGCTTGTAAGTGGGTGTACAAACTGAAGCATAACTCTGACGGTTCCATAGAGCGTTATAAAGCTCGCTTGGTTGCTAAGGGCTTCACTCAAGCTGCTGGTATTGATTATCATGACACATTTTCTCCTACTGCTAAGATGATTACAGTACGTTGTCTTCTTGCCCTTGCTGCTAGTCAGTCTTGGTCTCTTCATCAGCTCGATGTTAATAATGCTTTCTTGCATGGTGATTTACATAAGGAAATTTATATGTCTCATTCTCCTGGTCTTCTGCGACAGGGGGAGAATCTTGTGTGTCGCCTTCACAAATCTCTTTACGGTTTCAAGCAAGCTTCTCGCCAATGGTTTGCCAAGTTCACTAGTGCCATTCTTTCTGCTGGTTTTCAACAGTCCAAAGCTGATTATTCATTGTTCACCAGAAAGTCCGGTAATTCCTTCACATCCTTACTCATTTATGTGATGATATATGTGATTACAGGCAACGACGTCAGTGCCATCAATGCTTTGAAATCTTTTCTCCGTGACCATTTTCGGATAAAAGACCTTGGTGATTTAAAATATTTTTTGGGTATTGAGGTTTCTCGATCCCAACGTGGGATTTATATTTCACAGCGTAAGTATGCATTAGAGATTCTCAAGGATTATGGTTTTCTGGGAGCACGGCCCATTGCTTTTCCTATGGATGATACTAAATTATCTGATAAAGGAGAACTTCTCAAAGATCCTGAAAAGTATCGGCGTTTAATAGGACGGCTAATCTACCTTACTATAACTCGGCCGGATATCACTTATTCCGTGCATGTTTTGAGTCGGTTTATGCACGAGCCACGTGTACCTCATATGGATGCTGCACTTCGTGTTGTTCGTTATTTGAAGTCTACTCCAGGTCAAGGCTTATTATTTAGTTCTGACAATCAAACCAAATTAGCTGCTTTCTGTGACTCTGATTGGGCAGGTTGTCCTATCACTCGCCGTTCGACTACTGGGTATTGTGTATTCTTGGGAAAATTCTTTGATTTCGTTGGCGATTTTCGTGCGGACAAAGCGTCAGAAAACTGTTTCACTTTCTTCAGCTGAGGCAGAATACAGGGCTATGGCAGGTGCTTGTTGTGAGTTAGTTAATTTGGCTTCGTTTTTTTGTTGAAGGATTTGAACATTCCTTTAGGAAGTCCTTCCGTCTTGTTTTGCGATAATCAAGCAGCGTTACATATAGAGCAGCTAATCTTGTTTTTCATGAACGAACTCGTCATATTGAGATGGATTGTCACTTTATACGAGATAAGATTGCAGATGGAACTATAGCAACCAAGTTTGTGGGTATGGCGCACCAATTGGCAGATTTGTTCACCAAGCCTCTCGGGAAGGACAAGTTTTCGACTATGTTACGCAAGTTGGGAGTTCTTGACATCCACTCTCCAGCTTGAGGGGGAGTGTTAGACAAATAGAAGTATTAGTTGATTGTAATCCTAATTATATTTGTATTCCTAATTTGTATCCCTAACTTGTAGGGTTAATACCTTGGTGTGCAAGGAATGTGATTGTATATATTGGTATTCACGTATTAATGAAATATACTTTTTCATCCACATATTCTTTTTCTACAAAAAGTTCGGTACCGGATTCAGGATCTCATATGCCTTTGTTCAGTAATTCTAAACCGAACTAACATTTTATAAAGGCCTAATTTAATAAATGATCATCGTGGTAATAGAGTATTCTGAAGATAGTTCATGTGGTAAAAATAAAAAAATAAAAAATAAAATAAAAGAAAAATGATTTAAACCCTTGTGGTGAAATACATTAGGAATTAAGACCAAAATCAAAATTTTTGTTAGTTTCTCCATTAAGCTTCCCTTTTCTTAAGGGTTAGGAATCATGAGTCTCTATATTCACGCTTCGTACATTTCCCTGCATGTGGCTACAGTTAACTCATTATGTCCCGTTGGGCTTTGCTCCCCTTCATCATTTGTTACTTTCGTGCATTTTCATTGTGTTCCTCCTTCATTGGTGTTCCTTCTCCTGTTTATGGCTCACTGGAAATTTACTCATGGTTGAAAAAAAATCTTCATATTCAATCAGTAATCATTGCCCCTCTTTTTCCACGTGTGTTTTGAATAGAAAGAGGCCTTGATTTTTAATTGTTAAAAAGGGCCTTACTGGTTCTTCAATGTCATCTCACATCATGTAGAAACAGAAATGAGATCATAGAGAAGGAGATGGAGGGGCTGGCCATTACAGACAGATGCAGAGCCTCCATACTCTCCAAAACATGCACGAAAACAACTTAGGAATAAACAAACCACAAGGGATCGGTATATAGAATTACATTTTTACTTGATTGGATTAATCATGGGAGCATTTCTATTAAAAAACAAAAAAAAAACAAAAAATGGGAGCATTTCTATTGAGCCATAATAAAGGCAGTGCAGAAATTCATAGAAATACGAAGTTTTGTTTTTGAGGTTAACAGAGATAACGGAAATTTGTTTTTTGGACTAAAATCCTAACGGACTTTATTCCAAAAGTTTAAATCCGAATTTCCTTACCATGAGCTATCTTGCAAATACCTTATCACCACGAGGACTTAGGCATTTTATAAAAAATATATATAGGTTTATATCACAAATAGTTCATGAAATTGGTCCACATCATTAAGATGATCCTTGAAATTGAATCAATCAATATAGTCCTTCTAAATAGGTGTTGCAAATCAATTTGGTCATTCCGTCTAAATTATGTTATGTGTCCCACAAGTCTTTTTTTTTCTTTTACCACAAATGATCTCTGAAATTGATCCACACCATCAATATGGTTCCAAAATTGCAAATTAATCAATGTAGTCCTAAAATTGATGTAACAAATCAATGTGGTCATTCCGTCGTAATTATGTCAAAGATTTTGTTATGTACTGGTGTGGCAAACTAACTAAATAAAAAATGAATTAGAAATATGTGTAATAATTTAAAATTTAATTAAAAAGTTGTCAACCCAGAGACTCGATCCCGGTAATCATCTCTGATTCCATCTGATACTCCTCTACCTCTATTTGTGATAGCCTTCACTGTCCCTTCTCTGAAAAAGAAAATTCCCAAGACATCAATCTTTACAACCTTCGACACCCTTCATCGAATTTGACCCGGATCGAGACCACCTTTGATGACGATTTTTGTGGCTCTACAATTAATATTTGGGCGATCGACAACCTCAATCTTAATCTTGGAGAGCTTGTTGGGCGCTCCCCAGTGATCTTCGTGATGCGCAGAATGACAAGCTCTGTTTTGAGATAATCTCAATGTGCAAAAAGATGTTTTCACAACTTTCTTAATTAATTATTAAACCACATCAACGCATAATAAAATTGTGATGAAATGACCATATTAATTTTGTGACACCTATTTTCAAGAATTACATTGATCGATTTTCAATTTCAGAGACCATCTTGCTCTTGTGGGTTAATTTTAAGGATCATTTGTGATAAAAACTTTTATTATTTTTAAGTGACGTAGTGAAGTTCCGTTCTAAATTGGTGTTGAAAGAATGGTAGTGGAGTTAAACTTCAAATTTGTGACGATTGTGATGTCTCATTGCGTGTTTTGCATGCAAATTTGTGATTTCCGATTGAAGTTTATGCGGTGATTGTCTTCGAGAATGCTCGGGCAAGAGTCGCAGCATGCACGGGAAATCTGAGCATCCAATTTCCAAGTGGTAACACAGTAGTAGCAGCAGCTGCAGCAAGGCCAAAAAGGAGACTGTCTGGAGTTTCTTCGCCTTCGAAAATCCAACATTGGGCGCTGAAGGAACATAGTAGTTGGATGGCTGCAGCCAACAAAAATCAACTTATTGTAATGATATTTAACATGAATAACTATGGATTTTATCCCAATGTTTGTAAACTTGTGTGATTTTAGCTGTTTTAGCAGGGATGATTTGTGTGCTACGGTTTGGTTTTGCAGTGATTTATGTCATTGATAACATTTCTAAAATATATTTGCTTATTTAAAATGTAACCAAATTATATTATTCTCCGTGTCATTTTATCGATGACATATCATTTAATTTACAAATTTAACTTTTATATTTAACCTTCTTAGTATTACTCAAGATCATAAACGAGAACATGAGATTATTAAAAACAAGAATGTCAACAAACGTGCAACCAATGTAGAGATGGTGGGACCATGAAAAAATAATGCCGTCCATTTAAATTGAAAAAGAAGATGTGGTCCCCACAGGACCATCTTTTTCCTCCCGACTCTGCAACATCTTTTACCCCAGGTTCAGGAGACTTAACATCGCCGTCTAGGCATGCATATTACCGGCTAGACCCGCCTAATCTTGCTCAGACATCCGCCTAATAAGTTTACCGATTTTACGACCGATTAAAACCTAATCGCTACGGTCAGCCACAAGTTCAGTTCCTAAGCTCCGTCTAGATGATTGTTTAGATCAATTTTTAGAACACTAATTTTTATGGACCAGGATCCTCTCCTGAGCTAAGGATGAGGATTCTCCCTGATCAAAGAGTGTGGACCGTTGAATGAAAATTCAACGACTACAATTATTATAACTTTAAAAGGACCTCCTGTTTGTAGCCGTTGAATTTTCATCCAACGGCCTACACTCCTTGATAAAAAAAATCCTTATCCTTAGCTCAAGAAAGAATCCTGGTACAATTTTTATAACCCACCGCTTTCAAGGAATTGTCTTTAGTTTTAAGGGCGTACTTCAAGTCACAAAAGAGAGGTTAATTCTTAGCCATCAATCAAATCAGTGGTAGGGTCTGTAGGCTCTCATTCTCTATCCGCCGCCCATTTTTCTAATCAAGAAAACTAGTAAAAAGCAGTAGCACTCACGCGTTATTGACACGGCATTATTGACAGTGGGAGAAATAGAATAGCACTCACGCGTTATTTACAAGCTACAGTAACATCATTGACCAATGCAAAAAATGAAAAAATGCCGCCTGTCACTCACGCGTTATTGACACGGCATTATTTCAATTTTTTTTCTCTCTCTTCTTTCTTCTCTCCCTCTTCTCGCGCCCTCCTCCGACGCCGCACCGCCCGCAACAACCGCCAGTTCTGACTAAGACCGAGATCGAGATAGAGACAAAGAGCTGGAACTGGAAGTCGTCAAAGAGCAGTATCTCTTCTCTAATATTTTCGTATTGGATTTGTATCTGTTTGAGCTGCGTTTCAGATCTTCGAGGGTTTGTTTTTTGCAAAACAATAATCAAAGAGCTGGGGTCCTTAATTTGCTTTGCTCTCACATCTTCCAGCGATTCAAAACAATAATCAGGAGTTTTACTGGGGAATCTTGGGAGGGATTTGTTTTCTTTAGACTGAATCGATCAGGAGTTTCACTTCTTTACTTGAAATCAATGAATACCAGCAGCCCCGCCCATGCAACCGCCACCGCTGCCGCCACATCGTCTTCCTCTCGGCGTTCAAACCGCTGGAAGTACGAGGTGTTCCTGAGCTTTAGAGGCGAGGACACACGCACTGGGTTCACAGACCACCTCTTCATTGCGTTAGACAGTGCCGGAATCAGCAAGTTTATAGATTACGAGCTCAAAAAGGGGGAGAATATACAGAGAGAACTTGACCGAGCAATCGAAGGGTCGAGGATCGCGGTCGTCGTCTTCTCAAAGAGTTACGCGGAGTCCCGATGGTGCTTGAGGGAGCTGTCGAAGATCATGAGAGAGGGGAAAGTAGTCTATCCTATATTCTACGACGTTGACCCTTCTCAAGTGAGGAATCAGAGCGGTAGTTTTGACGAAGCATTTCGAAAGCATGATGGGGGTGAAGATCCAAATGAGGTGGAGCAGTGGAGAAGGGACCTTAAGGCTTGTGCGGATTTGGGTGGCCGGAGTCTTAAAACCACGGCGGACGGGTATAATTCAAATTTCCTCTTTTACAAAATTTAATCGCTTGGAACATCTTGTATAATCAGATTAATGATTAGAAGAAGAATATAATAATTAGTAATTAGAAGAAGAAAATAATGATTAGTAATTACATAAGCATCAGCCTTGACGGATTAATGAGAAGCCAATATTATTGGCTCTGATACCAGATGTTGGAACAAATATAGCAAAGCCTAATTCATTAGCAGATCAATAATCACATGGACGATTGATAAAAAAAACTGAGGAAGCCATGGATGATTGATCAAAGAAGAGCTTCTACTCACAGGAACCTTATGTTGTTGCAAGTAATAGGGCTCGTTTTCTGTATAAATTCCCAGTGGGTTATCCACCAGTCTGGTCATGTCAGCTTAAGGGTCGTCTAAATAATTCTTAATTGAACATATATGATGAATTAGTTTAGTTCATATGAATCTTGGTGTTGCATGATATGATGAATCATCTGTTTGAATAATTTGGACTCTCAATTTGCAGGCGTGAAGGATTGTTTATCCAGAATGTTGTTGGGGACATCATCGCACTAACAAAAACCAGAGACTTACAGACAAGTCAGTCGAGCACTCGGTTGGAATACCTCGTTGCGTGGGCAAGAGTTCCTAGTACTGTTTTTTTTTTTTTTTTTGAAATACCCCCCCTATTTATAACCGAGGAGGGAAGGAGAGATGTCGGTAACTTCTTTCCCATAGCCTAGTCAGCACTTTTTCTTTTCTTTTTTTATCTTTTTTCTCCTTTTGGGTATAAAAGAAAGATTACTCTTTTTCACCCACCCCACTCTCTCCTCTCCCCTCTCTCTCTCCCTCACCTATTACTTTTTTTCTTTGATTCACCCACTTTCTCCTCTCCCCCGTCTCTCGTCGCCCCCTCTTTTCCCTCTCTCTTTCCTTTCTCTGCTTCTCTCTCTCTAACCATAAGAGTTACAAGCATTTGAAGAAAGAATAATAAGAAGAAGAGGACCCAGATGATCCAGTTCTCATATTCTTCAAGGTCTCGCACTTCAACCCAAGACGCGAAGACAATCTCTCTCCAGCCGATGCCCACGATTTTGAGTATGGAGTTTCTTCGCCTTAGAAAATCCAACATTGGGCGCTGAAGGATCATAGTAGTTGGATGGTTGCATCCAACAAAAATCAACTTATTGTAATTATATTTAACAATGAATAACTGTGGGTTTTATCCCAATGTATGTAAACTTGTGTGATTTGGAATGTCTTAGCTGTCATAGCAGTGATGAATTGTGTGCTACAGTTTGGTTCTGCAGCGGGTTATGTCATTGATACATGTTAAAAAAAATTATGACTCAATATGATTCGTTATGAAAGTTTACCAAAAGATATAAGCACTAATTGACGCAGTAAACCAAGCTAACATATATGAAAATATGTTAATTTGGGAAGTTAGCTACTATTTGTTTCTTTTGAGTTTTTGCGTTTTATTTTGGTTTGCTCGAGGACAAGCAAAATTAGTTTGGGGGCATTTTGGTTGCGGCAAAGAGGAGAGCTACTTTGGAGTTTTTCTTTGCTAGGGTTTTACTTTGGAGTTTTATTTTATCTTTTGCTATTCGTAATGCGCTTGATTTTTATTTAGATGCTTGATCACCATCTAAGTTTTAGTTAAGTTGATTTGATGCAAGTTAGAGTAGATGCCATACTTGGGTTTAGCTTCTTGCAATTGATACCATAAACACTTATTTGTAGATGTCATGCAATTAGGGTTTGTGTGATTTTCCAATGACTTCCATAGAGGTTAATGGGTTCTTACTTGTTTAAATCGGAGAAGGATTCTCTCCTCTCTTTTTTCCCTCATTCCCTCCATTCCTATTTGAACGGTCACGGTTAAGCCACGTCAGTATCTTATATTAATTTTTTATAGAAAGAGAAAGACAAAATAAAGAGTGTGAGAGGAGGAGATGGAATGTGGATGGAAAGATGAGGGAGAGAATCCTAGTCCATTTAAATCCATCTAGATGCCATATAGGGTTCACATGTAAGATACTTTTGATGCAACCAGATGCCATGACCATTGCCGGGGAATTGTTGGGGGGAAGGGCGAACTTAAAAGAGTGCAAGGTTCAAAAGAATGTGACAACAACCAAATCCTTTTATCAATACAAAACAAATTACAATTGTTGCCGGCGAGGTTTCATGTCATGAAAACATCGCATAACAGACTCATTATCAATAAAAGCAGATACATCTCACTCAATGTAAACAAACACGCTATCACTCAACCATTGATCTCCCATTTTGTTATGCAATGGTGTTTTCACAATCTTCATAACAGAAAGCTCTCTCCACCGAAGCTGTTGCAACCGGTAACACCAAAACCAATGTAAGAAGCTTATACACTAACATATAGCTTACACGCCTCCTGGTCTTCACTAACTCATTTGCAAGATTACTAATTCCTCTCAATGATGAAAACTCACTATGCATCTTCATATCATGAATGTAATTTTCAAGTTGAATTGGAAGATTCATGAGTTCCATACGATCAAAATCTTGAGGATAAAGTTGGGCTAAATAAACAATTTTTGCTTTGTCAAAAAGATGCAAAATTATTTACCGGACTCAAACATGCCATACAAAGAAGCAACTCGGTGTTTACCTCATTAAAGCGATCATTCAATTCCTTTAGTTGCATATCAAGAACTTGAAAATAGAGGTTCACACGATAGTAAAGAAGTTTGTGAGTCTTGGAGCTTTACACTTTGATTTTTTCGGGTAAGAAATGCAAATCCTCCATGTTAGGAACGATAATCTCATACTCCTCACTAAACTTTTGTACATCATCAAACAAGTCCCCAAAGTCATCATCTCTCAAGGATTGTAGTCTTTGCTTGCATACTTCCACTAACGTCATCACATTCACAATATCTTGATTTTCTTTGGTAATGCTTGTGATAACTCATTTGTAATTCCCAATATAAGTCTCATAAAAAAAAGGTGAAACACAAAATCAAGAGTTTGTATGTCGTGGAAGAACTTGCTTCACTGAAATTATCTTGGTTGCCATCATCTTTAATCCATTCAAGCACCTCCACCATGGCTTAAAACATAACAATAACACTAACTATAGTACCATAATGTGAGTTCCACTGTGTATCACAAGGACGCGTGAGACTAATATCTTGATTTAATCCTATACCAGTTATAAGATCACCAATATCAAGAGCTTTCTTAATTTGTTATTGTTTCAAACCTATTTGTGCTTCAAGTCACAGAAAAAAGAGATGTTAATTCTTAGCCATCAATCAAATCAGTGGTCAATCTCATTAGGGTTCGTAGGCTCTCATTCTCTATCCATCGCCTATTTTGTAAAAATGAAAACTAATGAAAAAGACTTGAAAATTTTGAGTTTTAACGATAAGGACAAAATAAAGGATAAAATGAATAGTACCAAAATTGACTTTTTAGTGTAAAATGTGGTTTTTCGTTAAAGTGAACAATATCATAAGTTTTTCGTTAAATGTCCTTTTGTAAAAAGCAGTTGCACACACTAACATACTACCTTTACCTATTTTATAGTCTATTTAGTTCCAACAAATCATCTCCAACATTGGCTGGTCATTTTTTTGTTCTATGCTAAAGGTTTTGCAAAACCTCTCAAACTGAAGGGCCTCATCACGTGATGTCTCACAACAAATTACATACAATATTAAAACTGACACACCCCGATCCGGGGTATCCAGGTGTGCTGGCCGTCACGTGGGCGTGACGTAACCAAAGGTGCGACACGGAAGCAAAACAAGAACATAAATCAGCTGAAATTCAAACCAACTTAAACATATCCACCTACGAACATAACCGGACAAGTTATACTACAAACACATAAGTTCAGAGCATAGGTAACTGCAGTCAAGTAGGACTAAAATAAGAATACATCACCCTCAGGTGAGTCCTACATGTCCAAGGTCTGTCAGAAAGCCGGAAAAGGACCTCGTGAGCCAACCACCGCTAAACTAGAACCTGGAGGGGCGCAAAACAAAATGAGTGGGTCAGTAAAACAAATTAGTTTTCCAAAACAGTTCATTAAAACAATTATATCCCCTCGCCGTAAAAACCTGTATACTTTCCCAGAAAATAGTATATAAACATATAAATATACTCAACCTCATAACTCAGCACATTTCATCATCATAATATCACAGAAACGGTATGCCATGCCCAAAATATAATCAGAATGTAAATCAATATCAATCAGGTGAATACTAAGTCAACCGGAGACCCTACGATGGTCCTGTACGGCTGATTCTAAAGCTCAACATCTCATCCAACCGGAGTCACCTCGGTGACCTGTACGGTTTAACTCTGCACGTCACTCGGAACTACATAAGGTAGTCTGTACGGTGACAGGTGTATAAATACGCTCTAGTGCTTCTCACATCAATCATCAGCGCGCATATCTAAGGTCACCCACCAGTCGGAACCCCTCTAATGGTCTGTACGACTGGCATGTCGGAACCCTCACATGGTCTGTACGACATCCACATACTTGGATCCAAGACGAGCGTGCGGTGTGGTGAATAACAATATAATCACTATCACCTAGGTGCAGGTTATGAGCTTTCAATGCAATTCATATAAATAACTCAGCTGGAAATAAATAAACTCACCTGAGCGTCCACCGCATCATTTCACGCGCATATATCAATTATCAATTCCAGTATTTCAATATTTTCATGCATGGCAAATTAAATTTATAAAACGCGTATTTTCTGGGAAAATAGATGTATATAGGTAAATACGAAATCAAAACTGCCCACTCACTGATATGTCGACGGGTCGTAACCCCCGTGGCGTCCCTGGATGCGGTCGTCCTCGGGATACGTCTCACCTATATGCGAAACAACTATAAAAACGTTAATTTTAAACACATCACCAAAATTCCAAAAAAAATTCTCATACGATGCTCAATTTGGGTTTATGAATATACCACATCGACTTACTCGACGTCAAGAGCGTCGGGAAATTTTTAGAAACAATTTTGGACTCCCCACGCGCCCTCACGCGCCGACTAGAGCTCGGCTCTACGCGTAGGCCACGCGCAGCCACGCGCGGCACGTGTCATCGTCTTCCCCAGGGTTCGCCGGACTGGTTTTTCCGGCGACCCAATTCCGGCCAAACTTTAAACCTCTTGTTCTCCTTCGTTTTTCACCCATTTTCTTCGTATTTTATATCAATTTGAAGCCCTAAGAGTGTACTATCACGTTGGACTAGTTTTAGGGTCTAAAAATCAAGAAATCTCACCGAGAAAAATCCAAGAATTCGGCCAACTTTGAAACCCACGATCCCGACGTCCAAAACTGTCCAACGAACGTCCCCGAGCTTCCTTAGGACCTCATAAAGCCCACTACAAGCTTGAAATTCCCTTATTTGCCTCGATCCGTCGAGTTTTTGGAGGGTTTGGGGTGTGCCGTACGTATTTGGGTGTATGCGTGGGTGTGAGATCGTGAAGGAGAGACAGACAGGGAATGCACGGGGAAAGGAAAGGGAAGGAGGGTCCTGTGTGGTCCCAATTGATCCACACCATCCATTTTTCAATCCTTAGCCAAAACAACAAAATCAACCTTTTAATATTTTATCCAACTTAGATAACATTTCCAATAGGTTAGGAAAATATAAATATCTAAAACATTTCACCAACGCACCTTAGTAACGTCAAGGGCATTTTCGTCATTTCACATTCCCGTCAACAGTACCTCCGGGACGGGCTGTGACAAAAACGTCACGTGATTATTAACTCGTTACATATAAATTATTATGATAAGATTTTAATGTTAACATATCGCATAAGTGACATATTATTATTATTTTAAAAAAAAAAAAAAAAAAAATTGGTCCTCAGACTTTGTCCTAATTGGAGCGTTGATCACCAAACTCTCGCTCATCTGTCTGCATTTAAAATACAATTCAATCAATGCAAAACCCACAAACATGTGCCATGTCCAATGCAACCTTGTCATGTTTGTTCATAAACCCATGATGCCCACCAACAGCAATTGAACCAACCTGTGCACCACCCTTAAAATAGAATAAGGTCGTGAACTAAGGGTGCGTTAAAAAAACCGACAAACGAAAAAAACCGAACTAAACACCGAATCGAAATTGAAAAAACCAAACAAAAAAAAAATTGAACCAAATTAAAAAAGAGAACCGAACCGAACCGAACATATATTAATTTTAAGGAAAACTAATGAAAAGGGTTTGAAAACTTTGAGTTTTAATGATAAGGACAAAATAAAGGGTAAAGTGAATAGTATCCGGTTTGACTTTTTAGTGTAAAAATGTGGTTTTTCGTTAAAGTGAACAGTACCGTGGACTTTTCGTTAA